TGCACTTGGGTGTCTTGGGGACATAACACTAAGGGGCAGTAGCCTAGCACAGTGCTTGTCATTCCCAGCATCACCGACACTTTGGACTGTGTCATGGTTGTTGTTGTAGGGCCATCCTACACATAGCAGGATAAGGAGCAGCACGCCTAGCCTCAGGACATTAGGTGACAGTAGTACTCCACAATGTTGTGACAGTATGAAGTATCTCCAGAAATTTTCAACTATCCCCTGGAGCACAAAACTGCCTCAGGTTGAGAACTACCTTAATGCAAGCATCTTGGGGACAGTTCAGGGAGGCTGTCCCAAAATTGTTTCTGGGAGAGATGATACTAAGCTAGGTCTACTCAGACAGCAACCTGAGTAGGAGACAGACCGAAAGGGAAACCAGGAAGGAATCTGCTACCAGAGTCTGAGTAACATCACAGAAGAGTGAACGAGGAAGTAGGGAGTTGAACACACGGGGAGATTGCAGTGGGAAAGAAGACAAATCAGTTCATCATTGCCATCCTATGCATTTTGGTCATTCTTTGACTTATTTTTCTTATTCTTCTTTGTGCTTCAGTTAGTTCAGAGTCAGGCTGACAGCTGAATTCTGAACAGATGATACACGCAAGAGCACCGCACAAGTCCTGGGAAGTACTATTCACATGTAAACTACCAGATGCCACAACAGCATCTGGAAATGATGCACTTTATAGCTTTGTTTGTTTGCACTCTGCAATCTCCAAGAATTCTAAAGAACAAGATATTACTGCACTGCTTATTCAACCACTGCATCTCAGGTTCACGTACTCTGGTGAGGAAGCTGGGGCCCCCACAGCAAGCCTCACCTCTTTGCCAGTGGCCTTCATGAGGTCTGCCAGTAGGGGACAGTAGAGGGACGTGACAAGCCTGGAGAGGCCTGTTTATTTCTTCTTACTCTTTGGTACTGGGAATCAAAGCCAGGGCCTCTGTGGACCATACACAATGTTAGTCACTGTTCTCTGAGAGCTTGTAATATAGTAAGAGGATAGAAACATGCAGGTAATTTCAATACAGTGTTGTACAAGCAAATGTTTAAAGCTAGAAGTTTGCACTCTTCACCTTCCACTCCCCTCAAGGTCACCTTGATAATATTTCTTTATCCAAGCAGTTCAGTTTGCTTTGGTAGTGACAAGTGATTCCAGGGACTAAAGAGAGGTGGATACAATTAAAATATATATATGAAAATGCCACTATGAACCTAATATTTTCTGCAATTAATATGTACTAATAATCAACAAATAAAAATAAGTCCAGGCTCATGCCTGTTTCCAGCCACGGAAGTGGAAGTTGCTGCCCGCATTTACTTTGTCCGTGATATCCATGTGCCCTTTCACTTTTTCAGTGAATATGTCTTTATATCGATTTCCCTTCATTAAAGCAACTGGCTGCTGCCATCCCTGTTTGGCAGATTCTAACTGCTGCCTGGCTTCTTATCCCAGCCTTCAGGCACTTCACGTACCACTCAGCCATCACAGAGGGAAAGAGGGACAGCAAGCTTAGGACATGCCTGGTGCATGACTAGCCGTGGCTGATGGACAGACTCCTAAATTAGCTAGGGACTACTAACTTTCAGGGGAAAAATGTTTTTGGATGGTACAGAAAGCGCTTTTTTAAAAAATAATAATAATAATTTTATTGAGAAACAAATATCAATGAGACAGTTTCACAACCAATTACTGGCACATTTTCAGTAATTAATACATTGCATATTGTTGTCTTAGTGGTTATTCATTGTATAAGATGCAGACATGATATCCTGTTTCAAACACTATTATAACAAACTTCTCTATTCATTGAATTAAGAGAGTGGAGCTGTATATCTATCCCATTTTGAGTATACAGCTACAAAAGTGTCATTCATTTCTATCCCACTTTTTTGGTTAGTTTTGTCAGAGAAGGGCATTCCATTGTCATTTAAATATCGTAGGTGCTTGAATTCAGCAGAATCTCCCAATAGAGTCCAGTAGTCCATAATCGTAGTGGGTTTCCTGTAAGACTAGCAATGTCCAAAGTTGTTGACTTGAGCTTTTTACAGCTCAGCCAGAAAGTTCTTGAGTAGTCTGAAGAACCACACCGAGGAGAGCAAGCTCAAACTCCACCTGAGTCCACAAGGCTAACATGTTCCGGAAAACGCTACGAGGAATAAATCTAGGGTCTGTTTGCATGTTTGCGGCTGCTGGAATGATAATTTGTATGATATGCTGCACAGACTAACACCAATGCTTTGAGCCACTTTGCTTTTATTTCTTCAAAAAGTATTGAGATCCTACTGTGTACATATAAGACAAGATCAAAAAAAATTTAATTCAATTCTAATAAAACTAAGAATAAAAACGTGAGCGAGCTGGCTGGGGAAGACATTTGCCAGTGTTTCCTTTCACTAATAAGGCACTTAGCGTGAAAGCAACCCTGCCTCTTTGAAGACAGTTATTCAAATGCACTTGTGCTTTTAATGCCATTTCCGTGTGAATATAATTCCCAACACTTCCTGTCTGTATTCTTCTTGAAACCTTTTTTGATAGTGAAAAATTCTACAGATACATAAATGTGCCTCTAGGTGAATTGTTAGAAGTATCTACATAAACACGATTAGGGATTCAGGTCAGAAACTACCATCTCAGGGCCCTCTTCCGTATAACCCTAACCCTACCAGCCGACCTATTCACAGTCCTAGCTTGATGGCAGTCTCTTCATGGCTCTTCCTTTGCCCCCTGGCGCTCTCCATTAAATGTACATCCATAAACAGAATACAGCTTAATTGAGCTTGTCTTTAATTCGGGCACACTGTGTGCATTTTCCGGATTTCTGTTCTGGTGGCATATTCCATTTCTGAGCATCTCCATGTTGTCCCACACAGCTGGATTCGATGCCTCTTCAGTGCTAGGTGATATACAAGAATATAAAACATCGCAATTGGATGAACGGTCTGTCTGGAAGTGCTGAGGAACGCAGCTGCTGGGTGGAGCAGGCCAGATAGGTATTCACGTAAGCTCTACGCGAAGAATCTCTGCCTCCAACCCCCTAACACACGGCCCTTCAGACTTCTCGCCTCACCTACGCCTGTCTGGTGGCATCCAGCGAGGATCTAACTTGCCCTCTTCTGATTATTAGCGAATTGCACTTCTGCCAGGAACGACAGATACTTGGGGTCCCCTCTCCCGCTCCCCCATCGCCCCCCCCCCCGGGCTAGAACCCCCTCTCTCCCCTCCCGGCTCCTTTCCGGGTCCGGGCGCCCGCTCCTGCCCCTTCCCCGCCCAGCCGGGCCGCTGTCCTCCTCCCGCGGAGCTGCAGGCGCTTCCCGCGCCCCGGAGCGTGCGTCCGCGCTCTCGCAGCCCGCGACCCGCCGCCCTCCCCGCCGCCGTG